GACCACTATCAGTCTGTATTACACACTGATAATTATAGACTGTATCACCAGTTACGATTCACTATCCTTGTTCTATATTTTTCTCTTTCTGTTATCGTTATAGTCTTTTGTCATCTTCTATATACTAGCGTACAGCACATTTTAATGCGGTGCATGTGTCGACATTCAGACGCATTTTTTATGATAGAACGAAAAAACAGAAACGTTTCGCTTATTTGCGTGGGGATGAATTATTATCCTGCCTATAAAAGACAAACGGATCAAAAAGGTGAACAAAATGTGCGTTATCGTTATCTTCATCTTTCTCGTCTCGTGGTCACGGTTAGGAGTGCATCGGTTATTTTTTTGTATTTTTCAAAAATTCACAATAAATGTCTTGTATTTTCATACTGGTGGCATACAGAAATCGCTGTTTCCCCTTTGGACTTACCTGCGTTGACTTTCCTAACTATAATAATGTTGAGGACATGCTATAGAAATATGAAGTTAAGCCGTCTGTCCTTCAATTCCAGAAGTTCTATCCGAAAACAAAATGAAGGCTTACAGAGTTTCTCCAGTTTCCGATTTCTATTCCTTGAAAGACTCAACAACAAGAAAGTAAAATACTAGCGTAAAAGAGAGAGACATATATTAGAAATTAGTTCCTTTATAGAATTCGGCTACCGAATCATACTTCTGCAAGAGTTTATTCGGTAATGCTTTTTCGAGTTCTTTGATCTGTGGTGCAGGATATAACCATGTTTTCAAGTCCGGTAATCTTCCTAGGTATTCCAACACGTAAGCAGCTGCTTTGACCATTTTTTCATAGGCAAACGGGTTTATATTAGCCATTGAGTCACAGGTCTGGTGGTAGCAGGGGTCGTGTATGGCACTTGCAATACCACCCTGTCCCTGTCCCAACAGCCGGTCGTAATAATCACGCTCCTCTTTCGTTTTCGTGTCGTCGCCGCCCGAAAAAAGACCCGATGCAACCACACCAGCTGCCAAAAATGGACCGTAATCACTCCGGCCACTAAATTCCGTGTACGTCCATGGCAGTGACTGATTAATAAACCAATCACGGTATAATTCTGAAAGTCGAATACTACCCGGGATGGCGTTTGCTGGTGTTGTATTGCGATTAGCCGTTGTACCGTCATAAATACCGAAAATATAGTTTGGAGAGCCTAACATGTCATAATTAAGATTAACAAGATAATCTTGTAGAGATTCGTTCGCGTCAGATGTCTTCTATTATCTGCTAATCGCGCTGCTCAATTACTGCAGCATTATGTATGACTCTGACGTTCTAAACGAACAGCTTCTATACGTTCACCAAGGACCGTGCTACTCTTTGCTACATCAGCATGATAGGCAGAGCCGAGCAGACCTACTTCTTCTGCTCCCCACCAACAAAATTTAACACGATATGGATACACTGGGTACGTTGACGTTTGAAGCAGACGAGCTAAATTTGCCGCCAAAACCAAATTGGCAGCACTACCACTACCTGTTGAAAAAGGAAAATTAAAGAAAAACTTAATAGAGTAAATCCATGAAAGCTTTGATGTAAAATCTTCCTTAGCAGCTGCTTCAGTCGTTCTTGGTCTGCAGGTTAATCTCTATTTTAACTTCCCTACTAATTTAGTTTCCTTCCTCTCTGATAGTCTGTCTCTAGAGATAGGTCGCTTGCAGCTTGCGTCAGCAAGGCTTTAATTAAGAGACGGTTCGTTAGGAGTCGAAATTTGCTGTGACATGAGAGACAAACCTTTCTAGTGTCCAAAGATATCGTATTTCATATTTACTTTCATCACTTGAAACTAAACAGTTTTTGTTGGGAACTATACCCTGTCGTTTAAAAAAGCAAATTCAGAAGATAGTTTGATGCACAAGGTTACTTTGCTATGAGAAAAACATGTAGGTTTTTGCCTCTTTTGATGCTCAACGCGAGTAACCTACAGTAGTACATGAATAACTTGTTGAAAGCTCATACAAAGCCTGTTTGCCTTAAAAACTAGAGAAACTATTTGCTTTACCGTTATCATTTATCCCCGGTCCTTCTGGCACACTGTCGCTGTGACTTCCAATGACAATCGTCTGTGTCGCATCTCCCGTGACCGTATGAGCACAGATATTACCAACAACCGTATTGGGTACATACTGCGCAACAATAGTTATTCTTACACTAGCATTTGTTGATGTATTTTGAGCTGCTTGAACAAGAATCGTTCCCAGTTGATAGGATAATCCTAAAGCAGGAAAGGTCGCATTTGGTCCAGCAGTGGCTATTACGGGAGTGAAGCGATCCGGTGCCGTTCCATCATTGTAAATTAGTATACCGGCTGCATTATATTTAGCAGCTAAGTTAACTTTCTCAACAAAAGTACATTCACCACGTATTACTAGAGCTATACTACCAGCAGCTGCATAAGGTAGAGCGGCTGACCAGTCCGAATCATCACAGCCGAGTCTTGGGATGATTGTTAGTCGGACGGGAGTCGAGAAATCAGCTGGTCTTGAGTAGGTCATGTGATAAAAGTCTTGTGCTGGACCCCAGGTGTAATTTACTTCAACGCCGTTTATGTAAGACAAGAAAACAGGCACACGTAGCAAACGCCAAGTTGAAACGTTGAAAAATTCTTGTTTTACTTCGAGATTTGAAAATTGAGAAAGATAATCCGTAATGTAATTAAGTGTTAGATTGAAACCAGCTGTACCAATAGCCCGGGTACCACCTGATGAATCGGCAATCCGTTGGAGTTGCGCTAAATGACCTAACATTTGCTCAGCTGTAATCGAATTCTGTAATGATGTTGCTACAGTTGAAGCTACAGATGTTGCTACAGTTGTGCTGGAACTAATTGAGGACGGTCCTAGATCATTGATTTTGCTCATATTTTTAATTCCAACGGCAAGCGCAGCTGCTGCCAGACCAATGGTTGTGATCGTAAACAAAACAATAAGAGACAGAACGAAATAAACGGTTTTTAAACTAATATAAGCAGCTGTACTGGTGGCAGCTGCGTTTGTGTCGTAATGTGATGTTTTATTTGTTGTTAGCATCCTGATCAATCAGCTCTTTTCAAAGCGAAGGAGTTATTTTATACTGGGTGTTTTCAATTTTTGTAGGAAACAAAACGATTGAACTATGTGCTTATTATTGTTTTCATATATTAATCCATTTAACTTGTACTGTTTATGATGAGATTAAGAAAGTTAACAATTACCTGTATAGATGAATGAAACAAGAATATAGGTAGAATCAGATTAGTCACCACATGAAAAATAATATTCTCGTTCTTGAAATTTCAAAGGAGAGCTGATTGTGATGATGATTATGAGGCTCCTGTAATAAAAGAATATTCTTGGACTATGAAACGATAAGATAAAGTAATTTTTTTGTTTTATTTCTATTTTTATTACTTCAGTTTGTAATACTCTTCTTTAAACTGCTGAATAAAACGAAAAGCACTGGTATACTTAAGTTACGAATTTAATTTCAAGGCGTAACTAACGTATAGAAAATATTCTTATCTTTTTTATTAGGTTAAAAAATGCTCTCAGTGGCCTGGAGCATTAGCTAAAGCTGGAGAATCAAAATCTAACACTTTGTAAAACGTTTTAGAAGTTTATCTTATATTTTTCCAAATAAGCCCCTTAACCTTGAAAACTATATTTTAAGCGTTCCGTCTAATTTGATGCCTGTGTCGGTTAAGAAGTGCGCCCAAATCGGTTTATCCTTTCGAAGAATACAAAACACCGATATTAGCTTAGGTCTTCAAAGATAAATACGCCTAAAAGGAACTGGAGCGTTTTTTTATTGAAAATCTGATCAATGATGATCTAGTCTGAAATATGTTTTCTATCTTAAAAATACATTTATGTAAACTCTCCAAGAAGACAAATACGAATGGAAGATGATATCTACGGTAGAATGCGCTTTCCCTACTTATTCACACTTATAGAAGCTTCATGGCTACGGTTCCGTTCAGCAGAGTTTGACTTTGTTTACTTTTGGTACCGAAACAGGCTTTCTCTTTCAAGTTGTCTGGTTGACCTTAAAGTACATAATAAATTCTTTAATGCAGAAAAAAAGATTCTTCTCTTTTCCCAGCAAGTAATGAAAAAATAGTTTCGAACTGTTTTCTGGATCTGGCTTCACAAAAATTCATCCTGTTTCCGATTGAGTAGTTGTGGCTTCTCTTTGGGTTCGAATAACTGAGTTCCTTAAAATTATAGTTCTGGCTATGGTCTAAGTTGGTTTATGTCAAAATAGATAGGCTAGGGAATATGTTTATTGATGTAGATAAAGATAAGAAATGTTCCTCTTACACTCTGCATACTTCACTTTCGACCTATAGGGGAAATGAAGACAGATTTTTCGAATGCCAGAATTCAAGGTTACTCTGTTGTTCGTTCAGATTTCAATAATGAGGCCAAACAGTAAGATTTCTCGCTACTGGGCTAGTGGATTCAGTATAGTTTTCGATTATTTGCTTATACATCCTCTGCGCAATAAAATTTTTAAGTTTCAAAAGTTATCGAAAGATAATAAAATGACTACTTGTGTAATAGTAGTAAATGTACCAGTCAACAAGTGATTTTTACTAACCGTTACATGTTGTTATAAGAACTTCAAAGATAAGCAATATAGAAAAACAGCAGCTATCTTACTTTTGTTGTATATTTTTGTCAAGTATTCTTCTTGCTTTTATAAAATAAAATTCATCTCGTCATGATCAACAAATAATAATAAAAAACTAAGGTAGATTAAAAAACAACAAAAACAGTTTGAAGAGTTACAGTTCGTCGATAGTACAAGTAGCATAAAAGCCTTTCTTGACTGACTTGAGAATTAAAGTTCTTTAGAAATAGACTCTCAATTAATAAAGAGCAGACGGAAAATCTTTCAAGGAAAATTCCATATACGTGCCATTAAGCTTTGTTAGTTTGAAGAGAACACCTGACTTTATGTGTTCTTAAGACTTTTTGATCAACTCAAGTCAGAGCCTGAGCTTTCGATTGATGAATACCGGAGGTATCTACCAGAGACCGAAACAGATCGGGTTGACCCGCGGGTCGGATCAGGTCGAGTTCGGTCGGATCGGGTCTGGGTCAATGCAAAAGATATTGATTCGGGTCGGGTCAACTTACGTTGGGGCGGGTTCGGATCACGTTTGGTTGATCTGTTTCGGTTCAAACTCAGGTCAATATAAGAAAAACTGCCTGAATTACCTAAACTTTTCCACTCATAAAAGGAAAAAATTACAGAAATCGTAAGGAATCTGATCATTCCTTTGAAAAAATTTCAAAACAATCTGACTAACATAACTTTTCTGTAGGAAAGAAGTGTTTCTTTACGAATGTGTACGAAAACATTTTCATGTTTCGGCTATACCCAAGCGTCAACAAAAAATCTGGTATCGTCCGATTCATCTACAGGTCAATCAGTTTATTTTCAAACGATTTGCATGCAGTTTTCCCTTACAAATCGTTTCAGAAGAAAAGTTCCTTACTATACCAGACGATAGACAATTTAATTCTCTACAAGATTATATATTCATTTTTAAGACTCATCTTTGATGTCTGGCACAGTAAGTCTAACAGGAAAAGCTTCAAACTTTCTAACTGCACGACGCAGTTTTAAAGTGCAAAGTGCACTCTTTTTTTAATTGTTTATAATGAGTACAAAAAGATTTGAAATAATTTTATTACAGTCAAGAATCCCATGCTTTACAAAAGCGTTTACTTGAAGGAAACTTATTTCAATTGGTAGTGGCTTTAATACATAAACTTCCAAGTCCGCCGAAGTTTCTAGCACTAAAAGGAAGTTTTGACCATTTCAGTATAAAATCCAAAGTTCAAATCATTAGTTTATAGACCAAAAAATGTGGAATTTCGCGCTCTATTAGTGTAACTTACAAATAAATCTGCTACTTTTTTTACCTGAAAAACTAGGGAATACTGGTTGTCGCTAGTGCTCGTAAGATGTCCGAAAAATAGGAGAAAATGGTCTTTCTTAAAGACTCTTTTTCGCTCTGAGTTCATCTAAAAACTCATTGTTTGTCATTAAAAAGACATCATATTGTAGAAAATTTCTTGCTGAATTTTTCGGTATACCTTTGTTTTGTTGAACAAATGATATTTAGCGAGGTTCTGCGCAAAAAATCGATTTCTTGAAGGTAAACTTGAGAAGTTTGGAGCATTTCCTGTTAGACTTACTGTGCCAAACATCAAAGATGAGTCTTAAAGATGAATATATAATCTTGTAGAATATAGATTGTCTATCGTTTGCTATAGTAAGGAACTTTTTTTCTGAAACGATTTGTAAGGAAAAACTGTATGCAAATCGTTTCAAAATAAATTGGTCGGCCTATAGATTACTAGATTTTTACTCGATTGCAACTATTAAGTGACGACAGTGAAAATCTAGTAATCGGGCGAATGCTACATTTCGTCTAGTTGCAACTATCGACCTCTCGCTCGATAATCGATCGATTTAACTATTGCTAGTTACACATGCAGACGCATCTAGTTAAAAGTCCCTTTTCCTAGTAATCTAGATGCCAACTAGTCGTGTATCGCCCGATTACAGATGAAATGTATCTAGATTTTTCCCATAGTGATGTTTACCTGGATAGTTCGGATCACAGTGGAAAAATTTTCTTGTCCGTTCGGGTCGGGTCAACGTATAAGATATTGATTCGGATCGGGTTCGGATCAGCTCACGTTCGGCTCGAGTCGGGTTTGGGTCATGGTTGACCCGTTTTGATCTCTGGTCTCTACTACTTCCCTATCAAACGTTATCAAAAACGTATGCATGCTTTTCCTATTTCGAAATGGAAAATAGTAATAATAAATTAAGAATTAATTTCTCAAAAAAGAAGTTTCCATTAATTATTTTATCAACCATTAACCCTGATCTGACCACCTATGATATGCCCAAATTCTACCGGTTCCATTTGGATACTGTCTGAACACAACGGTTAGATTTTACCGCTTCAGTTTATATTCCACTGAATGACAATAGGGTGTACTATCAATATGAACACTCATTATTTATCTGGCAGAGCAGAAAACATATCTTCAAAGCACTCGTTTTCGTCTGGGATCCACAAGGACGCAAGGTGGATGGATCAGGTTAATCACATATCACTGGCTGCTAAGCTACGCAAGAATGATATGTCTACTATTATTTTTTACTGTACTGCAAGCTTTTTAAAATAGGAACAAGCAATTCAAATTTTTATCATAGTGTCAACTTAATTAATTAACAACTTCACGAATACTTAATAGTTCATCGAAAAATCTTAAAGGTATATGTAGTTGGGTGTTCTTTTTAAACAAACCAAGCTTGAGGGTACATATAGGAGAGTGGAACCTCTTTTAAAAAATTTAATTAGAAGTTTGACAGTGATGGTATAACTAACAAACTATTAACGTTGAAAGGCTCATTCTTTTACCATTCGATACTTCGAAATGTAAGCTACATTTTGACCATGAAATGTTAGCATTTTCTTGAAATCTTGGCCCACTTATGGTGATCACAAAATGGTCTATTTGACAGTTTTGTCCCTCCCTCACTTCCCATACTGTCCTTCACCCAGCCTTCCCAGCCTGAAACCTAAAAATTTTATTCTATAGACAACTTTTGAACCTCTGTCGAATGGCTTAATCCCAATAGCGTTATCTCTCTGGAGCAGAAACGTGAAGACTTACACAAATTTCACACCAGAGGGTGATATTCAGTGCTTGTAACAGAGTTGTAACCGATCCGGTCCGGCCGGACATGTTGAGTGAGTTGGACCGGTCACAAAGTTGTGCATATTCGTTCATTTTTCATCAGAAAGATACTATGTATGGGTGCTTAGTAGTTTTTTTAAAGGAAAGAGAGAGTGACAATTTTATTTGAAATGTAAATTTGTTCTTTTTATTCTTTCAATTTGTTTTCAAAGACGAAGTCATATTATTCGTTGTTTAAAATATCTTAGCAATCGGAACAATGTAACGTATTGGCGTTTATATGCTTTGTCTTTTTTCTTTAATGTTAATCTAATTTTTTACTTTCGATATGCCGATACCGTAGCTTCCTAACCCAAATTTGTCTTAATTGGCTTTGTTATTTAACATAGTGAATCTCTTCCCAAATTTATTTTCAAATTATTCGTGATGTTTCGTTTTGTGGAAAGGAACCTTATCTCATGCAGAAGAAACTCAATCTTGAAAATATTTGTTGATTTTTTGGTATTAGAATTCCAGTATAAGCATTACAGAAAAGACAGGCGTAAAGATCTGTAGGTATTCAGAACAAAATTTTGTCCCTAATATCAATGTTATTACTTGAAAAAACTTGATGAACTCGGCGGTTTTTACCGGTCTGGAAATATTTTTAGACCGGCTGGTGACTGGCCGGACCGGTCTAGTATTTCCAGACAGGTTACAACTCCTCCTGTAAACACCGGTGTCAGATTTTGTAAACTCCATTTTTAGTGCTTATAAACACCAAAAGATCAGCCTTTGTAAATACCAAAGGGCGATTTTCAGCACTTGTAAACACCAGAAATTTTCTTGTCTGGGTCACGAGAATAATGCTATTAAAAATTAAAAGTATTATTCTCGTGTCCTAGACACGAAAGTTTCTATGAGGAGATACAAAATTCTTGTGAACAGAGCAAAATATCGCCGAGATTTTATGCATAATTCTCTTGTAATGTATAATTCCCCATTTTGATTGTCTTCATCCTCTCCCTCATCAGATTTATCGTCGCCATTCCCATCAGAGTTGTTCCCATCACTATCACTTGATAATTTTCAGTCACTAGCACTACTTTCAACCACTTCTCTGTTTAATTCTTCTGCAATTTGAGCGTCTTTCGACCTACTAGTAGAAGCCATGTTGCTACCTGTCGCTTGAAGTATATCACTTGAAAATGTGTTACATATGATACAAGTATACATAGATTGTACTTGTATCTGGTTTAAGCCTGTAATCTTGAACCAGAACGAAATCGAGAATATAAATTCTTATTATATCATTCTGAAACTTAAACTATCAAAACACAAAATCAATCCTTACGCGAAGCTAGGAATGAACACACGAACTTAATCTTTGTCTCTGGCTGTAAACACCGGTGTCAGATTTTGTAAACTCCATTTTCAGTGCTTATAAACACCAAAACATCAGCCTTTGTAAATACCAAAGGGCGATTTTCAGCACTTGTAAACACCAGCTTTCAGTCTTGTAAACACCAAATTTCAGGCGATCTTTTTTCCATACGACCCGATCTATAATAATAAACCTCAAACTTCCATCTCCTGCGAAGAACGGACAAGTCCTTGGAAGTTTTCACAAAATTTTAAAATGTTTAGAGAATATAAAAGGTGAGAGTTGTGGTCCCACCCAGGGCTGGGCAACCCCAACTCCGGAGTTGAGAATTTTTTTGGTAGAGTTGGAGCTGGAGTTGAGTTTTTGAATTTTTATTCTCAACTCCGTTTTGCATTTTTGGAAATATTCAATAGTTGTAAACTGATCATCTAAACGATTGAGTGGCTGTATTCACGAGTGAATTCGGAAGTTCTTTGCGCTTTCCTGCTCGAAAAGCTCAAAAAGATCCAGTCCCGCTAAAAAACGAAAAATACAAGCACTGATTCACCGCCAAAGGACTTATTTTTTTCAATCAAAAATATTGATTTTTATGTAAATGACATGCGCAATCTAGTAAGGATTCGTCCAGCAGAAACTTTTATATAAATGGGCGGACCGGCGTGAAATACGATCATAAACGTTTAGAAACTTATTTGGTTTCAAGGATGCAAAAAATGCAAAAGACGAAGAGAAAAACTGGATTGTACAAGCCATATTACAATCTTATAGAGTTCCTGGTTTCTTCAGGTGGAAGACAATATAAAGAGAGAATGAAAAGGGCTTCTTCGCCAATACTTAAGCGACCCAAATAAAAGATAGAAAATTAGGGACTCTTCGACTTGGCAAAGTGTAAATGAATACTTGAATTCTACACCGCTGCCTCTAACGTGTAAAATCATTCATTTTGTATACATGGATTTGTTCCATCAAATGCCACAATATTTCCAGATCGCAATGCGTCTCTTCTCCTTTAACTTATCTTTCCACCTTCTGTGTTGTATCCGACGTTTTCATTATTATTAGACTTACAGCGAGTTTCAACATTGGACAAGAAGAGGGTTGCGTGATAACAGAGTGAGTCACAATATAATATTTCATAAATGCTTGAGTTAAACTCTGTATGATTTGTTCTATCTGAGGAAGTACAGTGATTTATTCTCATTTTCTTTGACTATATATCATACAAGTTTCAAATCACGACATGAAACGTTTCAAAATTTTCCTTCTCCTACTACATCAATATTATATATAAATATGCATATGTATGCAAAGTGAAAGGAGATAATTGTCTAATAGATTAAATGTTCTTCGACTTCTGGTCAATACACGTTTGAGAAAAGTTAATAAAACTTTTAATGTCGCTGAACGAGAAAAAAAACAAGGAGCAAGAGCCTTGTGTCCATTTGTGGATAAGAGTATTCCAAAACTGAGTGTAGCCTAGTCGAAGATACAATGGAAGTCTAACACATTTAGTCTATTAGACTATTATCTCCATTCGTTTTTCATATTGGTGCATAAGAATCATTTGCTCTGCCATCATACCATTGCTCCTTGAATAACTTTTTTTCCTCTGAATGGAATTTCTAAAATGTGTTTTTGTTTTGTTTGTCTGAATAACGCCAACTATTTCAAAAAATATGAGCTCGTTATCTTCTATAGTTAAGTTACTGAGATACGGCACATGCATTCTAACTATCCTCGGTGACGAAAATCCACATTTTTTGTATAGTGAAATACAGTTTCAAGAGTTCTCTGTATCATTGATTATTACGAAAGCATTTCAATTCACAGCTTTACAATTGTAGAAGCGACGTTTAATAGGAGGACAACGTGTGAATAATATGAATTATATGCTCGAATATTCCTTCCACTCTAATTTTCTAAAGAATTTTGTCAGAAAAAGAAGTGGACAAAAGATTTACAAAATGACACTTCTGTTCAATCTAAAGATATTACCTCTTTCTATTTAAATAGCATGTCATTAAATCTCATGTTAATAGGTTATTGTTCTATGTAGTTGTCTTTGATAATATGTAGTGGAATTTTGACGCCAGATACATATTAAAGAAAAATGATTATGAAAATATGTTCATTCAAACAACAGCATCAGCAAAACATTTCAAGGTTTGATGTGCGTGATTGTTATAAAATAGAAGAATAAAAATAATTAATTGTCCATTTTAATTTCATTCAACTTTAGTACCTCATGTCACGAAAAGCAATTATATCAAAGTACCCATCTGCAGAAAAAGTAACTGATTAATTGTACCTAATATAATAAGAATATATGCACGTTTTGTACTGCGTACAATTACTTTCAGTTAATAAGTGCTTATCTGCTAGAAGAAAGCTGCTTGTAGTAGACACATACAATTCACTCTCCATATATTTTCTGATGTAAAAAATAACAGAAATATTACGTTTTATTAATCCGTTTTGTAATTATCAGAAGAAAAATGTGTTTTCTGGCGTCCAGTGAGACTTCAATTGTCTTTACACACATACACAGTCAAAAGTATTATTATGTCTGATCCTTTATCATTGGTAATTGCCGGATTGTGTAGATATGTTCTACCCGTTAATATTGTTCTGGGTATAATTGGTAATCTATTTAATATTGTAATATTCACTCGCAGACAATTACAAAAACAATCATGTACACGGATTTTATTAGTTCAATCTATTATCAATATTTGTTATATAATTTTAAATCAACCAGTGAATACGTTAGCTGAAGGTTATCATATTGATTTACGTCTAAAATCTAATACATTTTGTAAACTTTACTTCTATATGTCCTACGTATTACTATTACAATCTGAATGGTTACTTGTTTTAGCTTGTATTGATCGATGGACATCAAGTTCTCTCAATGCTCAATATCGTCGTTTTAGCCAATTAAAAACAACTAAATATACAATACCAGGAATATTAACTATTTGTTGTTTATTATTTAGTCATGTACCATGGTATTATCAAATTCAAACTGGATCAATGACTAGTGTATGTGCAGCATCAGATATTGTTTACAATAGATTTTTACAAATTTTCTATATGACTGTCTACTCGATATTATCTCCAATTGTACTTATTGTGTTTGGTTTATTAACAATAGAAAATGTTCGACAACAACGACGTCGAATTCTTCCTCAAGAACCAACAGTTTTTAAAGTATACCGTCGACGTGATCGACAAGTTATTAAACTTATTTCAATACAAACAATCACGTTTATTGTTGTTGTATCACCATTAGGGATGATGTCCGTTTTAAATGCATTAACATTACCAACACCATTAATACAATTGAATATTCGTAAATTATTTCTTTTGTCAGTTTTTTTCAATCTATCACTTGGATTCTATGTGAATACACTTTTAGCGACGGTGTATAGACGAGAATTTTTAAAAGTTCTAAATCAAATATTTAAACGTTTACTTGGCTTAACAATTATTGAACGTCATTTCTTACAACAACATCAACCAACATTTACATTCCAAAAATTTATTCAAAGCACAAATAATTGAATTTTTTTTGTAACATTCAAGTGTATTATGACACAAAGAACTGATCGATTGTTTACATCGAGATTTTTGAACGATACGACTGAATACTCACTATATTGAGTCGGCTGCGAATTTTCTGATATTAATTATAAATTTAATTATAATTTTATTAACACTAAGGCACGCACTATTATCCATTAGAGAAAAAAACAACAGCGCACACAAATCATACCGATAACTATGAAGAAAGAAGTTTCTTCTACTTGATTAGCCTTCTCAAACTAACAGATTGTACTCTAGGTATGCATTTTGGACTGAAGCCCAGTTACTAACGCTTAACCCTTACCCGGGCGCGCTCTTGAAGCTTCAAATGTTGTAAAATACGTTTTGGAATTGCCTGTCAGTATAGGGCGTGGTATTTCGATATCACGGTGCCAGTGAAACGGTTAACAAAAGATGAGTTTTGAGTTTATTCAAATTGTCCGACTAGTGATTAAACATGCGTTACATAGAGTCACTCGAAATTAACCTGCTCGATAATCGAGCGGATTTAAAACCAAGCAATGCCACATATTGGTTTTCTCTCATGCTGGGGGTGTCACACCCGTCTTTAAAAACTTTGAAACCTAAGTAGGAAAGTAGCTTTCATTTTTAACTTTTTAAAGTCAAACTGATTATTTTACCTCGTACATTCACCCCCGCAGTTTTATCCCTATTTATCCCACATATTTGCACCAAGTTTCGCAAAGGTTTAAAGCCACTCGAACGGATTTTAGATTTCTGACTCATCCATTTCCTCCCCGTCGGAGACCTCTACAAGTTGTTTGTAGTAGGTAAGATTGCAAGACAGGCGAAAGAGGTCACTAAAATTCACTGGGAACATGACTTGATGCAAACCAGCGAAAATACTTCTTTGTAAGAAAACGTTTTAAGCATGCTCGAATCAACCACGTGAGAGAGCAATCGTTCTCCGTTTCGAATAATTTGAAATGGAGCGCACCTGGAAAACGTACGCTCTATGTCGAACGTCAAGCGCAAGCCGTTCGATGAACGAACATGTTCGGTAACAAACCGTTCGGTGCCGATCAGCGATTCCTAGTTTGGGATTGTTGCATGCCTAGTTTGAATTATCTGCTGTTTTCTCTTGGAAGATTCTTATACCTATATTGATTCGCTAGCGTCGACTACGTAGGATCCTGCGTTTTTGTCACTTTATGTCATATTTTCTTTATTTATGATCAGATTGATTTTTGTAAGAGAAACCTAGAACACCTGTTATATTTGGCTACTATAAAATTCTTGTTTTTGGGTGAGATATCTATTACTTTTGTATCAGAGTAATGAAAAAATTCTGCTCTCTCTCTAGCTTCTGGTCAGAGCTGATCATCTGCATAATTTTTCGCTCCTGCGCGGTATCGCGCAGGGGCGAAATAAAATTTACCCGCGCTGCAGTTTGCAGGTTAGCAAAAAAATATTTTGTTCTACACAGGCAGAGGTTGAGGGTGTAAACTTCTGCACTACCCTGCCCTGCAGATTGACTGTAGGTGGATCCTAAGGCGAAGTATAACAATTTGTTTTCCTACTGACCACTATCAGTCTGTAATACACACTGGTAATTATAGACTGTATCACCAGTTACGATTCACTATCCTTGTTCTATATTTTTCTCTTTCTGTTATCGTTATAGTCTTTTGTCATCTTCTATATACTAGCGTACAGCACATTTTAATGCGGTGCATGTGTCGACATTCAGACGCATTTTTTATGATAGAACGAAAAAACAGAAACGTTTCGCTTATTTGCGTGGGGATGAATTATTATCCTGCCTATAAAAGACAAACGGATCAAAAAGGTGAACAAAATGTGCGTTATCGTTATCTTCATCTTTCTCGTCTCGTGGTCACGGTTAGGAGTGCATCGGTTATTTTTTTGTATTTTTCAAAAATTCACAATAAATGTCTTGTATTTTCATACTGGTGGCATACAGAAATCGCTGTTTCCCCTTTGGACTTACCTGCGTTGACTTTCCTAACTATAATAATGTTGAGGACATGCTATAGAAATATGAAGTTAAGCCGTCTGTCCTTCAATTCCAGAAGTTCTATCCGAAAACAAAATGAAGGCTTACAGAGTTTCTCCAGTTTCCGATTTCTATTCCTTGAAAGACTCAACAACAAGAAAGTAAAATACTAGCGTAAAAGAGAGAGACATATATTAGAAATTAGTTCCTTTATAGAATTCGGCTACCGAATCATACTTCTGCAAGAGTTTATTCGGTAATGCTTTTTCGAGTTCTTTGATCTGTGGTGCAGGATATAACCATGTTTTCAAGTCCGGTAATCTTCCTAGGTATTCCAACACGTAAGCAGCTGCTTTGACCATTTTTTCATAGGCAAACGGGTTTATATTAGCCATTGAGTCACAGGTCTGGTGGTAGCAGGGGTCGTGTATGGCACTTGCAATACCACCCTGTCCCTGTCCCAACAGCCGGTCGTAATAATCACGCTCCTCTTTCGTTTTCGTGTCGTCGCCGCCCGAAAAAAGACCCGATGCAACCACACCAGCTGCCAAAAATGGACCGTAATCACTCCGGCCACTAAATTCCGTGTACGTCCATGGCAGTGACTGATTAATAAACCAATCACGGTATAATTCTGAAAGTCGAATACTACCCGGGATGGCGTTTGCTGGTGTTGTATTGCGATTAGCCGTTGTACCGTCATAAATACCGAAAATATAGTTTGGAGAGCCTAACATGTCATAATTAAGATTAACAAGATAATCTTGTAGAGATTCGTTCGCGTCAGATGTCTTCTATTATCTGCTAATCGCGCTGCTCAATTACTGCAGCATTATGTATGACTCTGACGTTCTAAACGAACAGCTTCTATACGTTCACCAAGGACCGTGCTACTCTTTGCTACATCAGCATGATAGGCAGAGCCGAGCAGACCTACTTCTTCTGCTCCCCACCAACAAAATTTAACACGATATGGATACACTGGGTACGTTGACGTTTGAAGCAGACGAGCTAAATTTGCCGCCAAAACCAAATTGGCAGCACTACCACTACCTGTTGAAAAAGGAAAATTAAAGAAAAACTTAATAGAGTAAATCCATGAAAGCTTTGATGTAAAATCTTCCTTAGCAGCTGCTTCAGTCGTTCTTGGTCTGCAGGTTAATCTCTATTTTAACTTCCCTACTAATTTAGTTTCCTTCCTCTCTGATAGTCTGTCTCTAGAGATAGGTCGCTTGCAGCTTGCGTCAGCAAGGCTTTAATTAAGAGACGGTTCGTTAGGAGTCGAAATTTGCTGTGACATGAGAGACAAACCTTTCTAGTGTCCAAAGATATCGTATTTCATATTTACTTTCATCACTTGAAACTAAACAGTTTTTGTTGGGAACTATACCCTGTCGTTTAAAAAAGCAAATTCAGAAGATAGTTTGATGCACAAGGTTACTTTGCTATGAGAAAAACATGTAGGTTTTTGCCTCTTTTGATGCTCAACGCGAGTAACCTACAGTAGTACATGAATAACTTGTTGAAAGCTCATACAAAGCCTGTTTGCCTTAAAAACTAGAGAAACTATTTGCTTTACCGTTATCATTTATCCCCGGTCCTTCTGGCACACTGTCGCTGTGACTTCCAATGACAATCGTCTGTGTCGCATCTCCCGTGACCGTATGAGCACAGATATTACCAACAACCGTATTGGGTACATACTGCGCAACAATAGTTATTCTTACACTAGCATTTGTTGATGTATTTTGAGCTGCTTGAACAAGAATCGTTCCCAGTTGATAGGATAATCCTAAAGCAGGAAAGGTCGCATTTGGTCCAGCAGTGGCTATTACGGGAGTGAAGCGATCCGGTGCCGTTCCATCATTGTAAATTAGTATACCGGCTGCATTATATTTAGCAGCTAAGTTAACTTTCTCAACAAAAGTACATTCACCACGTATTACTAGAGCTATACTACCAGCAGCTGCATAAGGTAGAGCGGCTGACCAGTCCGAATCATCACAGCCGAGTCTTGGGATGATTGTTAGTCGGACGGGAGTCGAGAAATCAGCTGGTCTTGAGTAGGTCATGTGATAAAAGTCTTGTGCTGGACCCCAGGTGTAATTTACTTCAACGCCGTTTATGTAAGACAAGAAAACAGGCACACGTAGCAAACGCCAAGTTGAAACGTTGAAAAATTCTTGTTTTACTTCGAGATTTGAAAATTGAGAAAGATAATCCGTAATGTAATTAAGTGTTAGATTGAAACCAGCTGTACCAATAGCCCGGGTACCACCTGATGAATCGGCAATCCGTTGGAGTTGCGCTAAATGACCTAACATTTGCTCAGCTGTAATCGAATTCTGTAATGATGTTGCTACAGTTGAAGCTACAGATGTTGCTACAGTTGTGCTGGAACTAATTGAGGACGGTCCTAGATCATTGATTTTGCTCATATTTTTAATTCCAACGGCAAGCGCAGCTGCTGCCAGACCAATGGTTGTGATCGTAAACAAAACAATAAGAGACAGAACGAAATAAACGGTTTTTAAACTAATATAAGCAGCTGTACTGGTGGCAGCTGCGTTTGTGTCGTAATGTGATGTTTTATTTGTTGTTAGCATCCTGATCAATCAGCTCTTTTCAAAGCGAAGGAGTTATTTTATACTGGGTGTTTTCAATTTTTGTAGGAAACAAAACGATTGAACTATGTGCTTATTATTGTTTTCATATATTAATCCATTTAACTTGTACTGTTTATGATGAGATTAAGAAAGTTAACAATTACCTGTATAGATGAATGAAACAAGAATATAGGTAGAATCAGATTAGTCACCACATGAAAAATAATATTCTCGTTCTTGAAATTTCAAAGGAGAGCTGATTGTGATGATGATTATGAGGCTCCTGTAATAAAAGAATATTCTTGGACTATGAAACGATAAGATAAAGTAATTTTTTTGTTTTATTTCTATTTTTATTACTTCAGTTTGTAATACTCTTCTTTAAACTGCTGAAT